TTTTGGCCTGGATCTTGTGTCAAGCCTCACACACCATGCAGGGCTTTTTAGTATCAGGAAAGACAAGCTAGTCGACAATGATCTTGTGGGTGTCGATCTTGCAGTTCGCCAGCTCCTGGATCAGCCTCTCAGTCTCATGCAAGGACAAGAATTTAGCAGTGCACACACAGATGAAGGTGGTTTGTTCAGGGTCCTTGAACTGTTCGCTAATGGATCAGATGACTGTTCTTGTTTTGTTCTTATCACAATAATTAAACTTTATTTTTTTTTCTCTCCTCAAAATGTGTTGATATGGGGAAAAACAAGAGAGAAATCAGAGTGTGAACCAAGTGAGTATAGTTGAGTTATCTTTCATATTACTGGATCATTTAAGAAAGCCTTGTACTCAGGCAAACCTGACCTGGAAATCAATGCTTTGATCTGGAAGTTTCTCAATTAAAAAATAAATAAGTTTTCTAGAGTAATTGAATCACATGCTCTCTTTTCTTCTTTAGGATCTGGGATACTCATCAAGCATTTAAAAATATAATCCCCAAAGTGTACAATTTTACAGACCTCACAAAGAGGATTAATACATAATCCTTGCTTTGAGTGTGTGCAGTCTAATGGGGGAGGCTGACTGATAAGAAGTACTTGTAGTGTGGGGTGATACATGATTTGGCAGGGAGTACATACGAAGTGAGCTAGGACACATAGAGCAGGCACTTGAGTACGCCTGGATGGAGAGATTGTCTTACAAGGTGAAAACTGTGCCGACTTAGGAAGGTCAAGTTGCAGAGTGAGACTGGAATGTTTGGAAGCTGAGACTTTTGCTCTGTGGGTAAGGGTACCTGCTGTACAGAACAGAGGATCTAAGTTCAAATCTGTAGTATCCATGGGAAACCTGAGCATGGCTGGGTGTTCTTCTGTAACTCTAGCACGGGCAGTCCGAGAGAAAGGGAGACCAACGAAGTTTTCTGTCTTTGCTGAAATGCAAAGATCCCCTCTCTAGAGAATGAGATAGAGGATGGTAGCACAGGACATCTGCCATCTTCTCTGTTCTCTCTATATATGGTCATACATATGTCAACTCACATGTGTGCTTGAACGATACATACACATATACATTTACACACACACACTCACACACACACTCACACACACACACAAACGTACATATGCATACACATTCTCACACACACACACATACATAAATGTTTGTTTATGTGGTTGGCTGGAATGGAGAGCAAACAACCCACCCAGCATGAACATGGCACATCTGAAAACTGGGAAGTGAAAGAGCAAACTATTCACTGTGTAACTTTGCCAGTTCTTTAAATCCTCTGTCAACTGGGAATGTCTGAAGAAACCAGAGTGGGCATGAGGCTAGATCATGGGGACTCTGTGCCAAACTAATTAAAATTTACATTATCCCTGATTATAGAACCAGAAACAGGAAGTGATGTGCTCAGCTTTGCATGTCAGGGGATAATTGCACACATGAAATGAAAATAGGTTTGGGATAACAAACAGAATCCAAGCAAAGGGGTATCAAGGTAGTTTACTTAATCTAGATAAGAAATGATAATGTCTTAACCATTACAGCAAGTTGGGAATGACGAGTCCTTAAGAAGGAAGAATCTGCAGGACTGGATCTAGGAGTGAGGGAGTGGGGCAAATGAAGCACGGAGGCTCCCTAATTTGTGTCATGGACAGCTGTGTGAAATGTATTACTTCTTGATGAGATTTGGTAGCTAGGATAAGTATCTTCACTTTTCTGGGAGATTCATTTTGGGTGCTAATTAGATATCTACACAATTCTAGAAAATCATTTGAATCTAGAAAAGGACTGTGAAATGAATTAATAATATAAACCATGCTATTTTCAAGGATAAGCATGAATAAACCAAAAACTCATGCAGAAAAACTAGGTGAGAATAGTACTACAGAAGGAAGATATTTCAAGTACTATAGATACCATGTAAGAGAAAATCAATATACCTGTTGAATTTAGTCACCAAAAAAACTATTGGGACTAGTTTAAGTTAACTTTGATGACAAGAAATGATGCTGCATTAAAATATGGATGTATAGAAAATGCTTTCAAGCAATGGTACCTATTGGATTAGGGAAAAATAAGATTTTGCATGCACATTTTTAAACATGGAAAGAGTTCTACATCTGAGCAGGGGTTCTAGTTACCTCCATGCATGGTCCTTGGTTGGAGTATCAGTCTCAGAAAAGACCCCTGTGCTCAGATTTTTTCTGGTTCCGTTGCTCTCCTTGAAAAGCTCCTGTCCTTTCCATGTCTTACTATCTCCCCCTTCTTTCATAAGATTCCCTGCAGTCTGCCCAAAGTTTGATTATGATCCTCAGCATCTGCTTTGATACACTGCTGGGTAGAGTCTTTCAGAGGCCCTCTGTGGTAGGCTCCTGTCTTGTTTCCTGTTTTCTAGTTCTTCCAACGTCCGTCCTGTTTGCCTTTCTGAGTGAGGATTAATGATCTCACCCAGGGTCCTCCTTCTTGCGTAGCTTCTTGAAGTGTACAGATTTTAGTATGTTTATCCTATATTATGTGTCTAATATCCACTTATAAGTGAGGATATACTATGTGTGTCTCAGTCTCCAAGTGGGTACCCTAGTAAGGGGAACAGGGACTGTTTCTGACATGAACTCAGTGTCTGGCTCTTTGACCACCTCCCCCTGAGGGGGGAGCAGCCTTGCCATGCCACAGAGGAAGACAATGCAGCCAGTCCTCGTGAGACCTGCTAGGCTAGGGTCAGATAGAAGGAGAGGAAGACTTCCCCTATCAGTGGACTGGAGAGGGGCATGGGAGGAGATGAGAGAGTGAGGGTGGGATTGAGAGGGAATGAGGGAGGGAGCTACAGCTGGAATACAAAGTGAATAAACTCTAATTAATATAAAAAATTAAAATTAAAATAAAACAGATGGAAAGAGTGTTGGATAAGTTTAAATATTGACAAGAAAGAACAATACACAGATGCGAACAATAGAAGAGAAAGGGAATATTGAAAAATGCTTCTGACAATTCAGTGTAACAGAATTGTGTTGTTCTCCTCCAAAATTCCATGACTTTACAGGCTCTAGATAGTTGTCTAGGTTTCCAGTAACCAGCCTGCTCAATCTTGTTGAGTGGGCCTTAAATCCAATTAGACAGCTGTTGGTTACTGCCAAAATATATGTGCTGCTGAGGCACCCTTAAGATTATTGTGCCATGTTAGTTATTGTTGATAAATATAGCATGGCCGGACTATAGGTTGCTTTCCTTCTCTGGAAGCTTGCATACTGCTCTCTGGTTCCATGAAAGCTAGTCATCAAGGAGGACACTTTTTAGGTCAGATTCAGCTTTAGTTCTCTGGGTCTTATGCCCAAAGTGCATGGTATCCTCAGTCTTAGGGACCACCCCAAACCCCACCCCAACACACACAAGCCTAGTCAGAGCACATGGGGAAGAATTTGCCTCGTAGCACGGAGAACAGATATTTTGCTATAAGGGAGGAAAGGAAACCCGGAGGACCATTACCAAGAAGTGTCTATGGACAGCAGTCACATTGAAAGCTAGAAAGTTAGTGACTGTCCATCCTCGGAGGGGTAACTAGGGGAAGAAGAGGCAGAAACAGACAGGGAGGCAGCCCTGGATTTTATGAACGTAGGATCCATACAATTGCAGTTCTTCATTCAATGGGGTTGTGTCTTTTTCCCTGTTAGTGCTCTGTAGGAGAGGTAGAGAGAGGAGGAGGGAGACAGATTTTTCCCAGATTAGTGTTCTCCCAAATGGGTGTAATAAGAGGATAAAAGGACAAGGTTGGTTCTGAAAAATAAAGTGTTGCATATGATAAATGGATGAAAGCAAAAGAAATTTAACTTGCAAAATTTTTATTATGTGGAACAGGAAGGAAATTGGAATTTATTATCATTAAAAATTACTGGTAGTCAAAATGATAATAATGAGCTGGAGGACTGATGACAGCAGGTTTTTACATTACATTGATTTCTCTCAAGCTACAGACTGAGGAATGGCATTTAAGTTATTACTGGGCTTTTATAGACTGCTGTAAGTTCATCTCACATGAGCATAATAAATGATTAGCATGACTTACTCATATTTAAAATATTTTCTAATTTGCTTAACATTTGATTTTATATTTCCAGTACATATGGTTACCTAAGGCTATTTTCATGCAAGTGTATTTCCTCTTATAACTGTTATCTTCTTCCTATGTACCTTCTCTCCTCCCATTACTCTCCTTTGCTTCTTAGACAATTCTAAACTTACTTCCATTAATTCGTCTTGTTGTGGGGACAGATTATTTAACAGGTCAGACTGGCTTGAAACTCAAGTCCCTAGCCACTACCTTCTGAGCATGTGCTACTACACCTAGTTTAATATGCAATATTTTATCAGGTATTAAAATGCTAAATGATTCTGTTTGCCTTGGGCATTTACACTTTTAGTTGTGTAATGATTTGGGACCTCTACTTTGCTACCTAGTTGTATTAGGATTAGGTTTTGTTTTTTTATGAACCATGAACTATCAGTCTGCCTAAAAGGCAGAGATATTGTTGCCATTTATCATTGTGAGCTATTAATAACATTGGGCACTGTCATAAAATTTTAATGGCTTAATTTAAAACTTAAGGTTGCTATCAGTTTAGCTATCAGATAGCTTCTTGTAAAAATCCAGAAGTTTTGGACTCTCTAACCAAATTCTGATTCTATAATTCTGTATTCCAATCCTATGTTCAATTTTAATCTCATGAAAAATGCTGACACCAACTACAGTTAAATATTCTTTAACTCAGTGTAGATGCTTTATGCACCAACACAGGAAGAAGGTCACTGACCAGAAGAGGAGTCAGATGACTTTGTATTTGTTAAGCAAATATCCAAAAACGATCTGGGGAGAAAACCCAAGGTCCAGGACTTGTTATTGCATAACCTGACCAACAAAGCTCTTTTATCAAAGAGACCAAACACCATATCATGGTTTGTAGTTAAAGTGAAAATTAACCCTCTCTGTAGAACAACTCCAGCTGAGTCACAGAGCAGGGCATCATTGTGGCTGAAACTGTAGAGGTAAGTACTTTATTTTGGCAGAATTTGGTATAACAATTAGCATTGTTATTTAAAGAAATGCACTGAAGTTATCACATTCAATTTAGATGAGTGGAAATAAATATTACTTTTTTGTGGATATAACTTTTTATTTTTTATTGTATCCTCCTCCCCTACTATCTGACCCCAGACTATGAGGTCTGATCAGGACAGTCTAGATCCTCTTTGTCTGTGGCCTAATAAGGTTACCTCGCCAGGGGAAGGTAATCAAAGAACAGGAAACAAAGTTTATGCAAGTGACTGCCCCTGCTCCCCTTACTAGGGAACCCATATGGAGATTGACCTGCCCGTGGGCTATATCTGAGCAGGGGGTCTAGGCCCTCTCCATGCATGGCCCTTGGTTGATTCATCAGTCTTTGCAGGCTCCCCTGGACTCAGCTTTTCTGACTCTGTTGGTCTCCTTTTGGAGCTCCTATCCCCTCCAGGTCTTTCTATCTCCTTCTTCCATAAGGTTCCCTGTACTCTGACCAAAGTTTGGCTATGAGTCTCAGCATCTGCTTCAATACCCTTGGTAGAGTTTTTCAGATGCCCTCTGTGGAAGGCTCCTTTCCTGTTCCCTGTCTTCTGCTACTTCTGATGTATGTCCTGTTTTCCCTTCCCTTAAGCATCTTCACTAGGGTCCGCATTGTTGTTTAGCTTCTTTAGGTCTAAAGATTTTTGTATGTTTATCTTATATTATATAGCTAATATCCACTTAAAAGTGGATATGTGTGTCTTTCTGCTTCTGGGTTGCCTCACTCAGGATGATCTCTTCTAGTTCCATCATTTGCCTCTAAATATTATGACTTTCTTGTTTTTAATTGCTGAGCAGTATTTCATTGTGTAAATGTACCACTTCAATTAAGAAGTATCAGCCTTACCAGGCCACAGAAGATGACAATGCAGCCATTCCTGGTGTGATCTGATAGACTAAGATCAGAAGGAAGGAGAGGAGGACCTCCCCTATCAGTGGACTTGGGGAGGGGCATGCCCAAAGAAGGGTGAGGGAGGGTGGGATCAGGAGGGAAGGAGGGAGGGACTTATCGGGGGATACAAAGTGAATAAACTGTAGAAAAAAATAAAAACAAAAAATGGAAAAAAAAAAGAAGTATTAGCTATCTGCTTTTCTTCCTTAGTAATTTTTTAAACATGAAAGTCATAGTTTGAGACTAATACACATTCAAAGATTCACTGGATCAAAATCTTAGCATAAGATTTACGACATTCAAGGGTTTGTCAGCACATGCAAAAACCCTAAGATATCTAGTATTTTTGATATTTAAAATCTATTCCCAGGAATGAATCACAAGAAAATAATTCAAAAACAGAAGAAGCACTTCTTATATAAAGAACTCTAACAGTGTTACAGTACTAAACACAGAACCAAACAAAATGCCCAAAAGCAAGGTCCTACATAACTAAGTTACAGTAGTTCATGGGTATTATATTGGCAGATGCATGTTTAATTTGATTTCTTAGAATGGTTCTGAGAATCTGCTAATACTGTAGCATTTAAGAAAATCTGTAGAATTATGATACATAAGTTACATTTCCTGTGTAAATACAGATTCAAAGGAACCATTTAAACAGTCAACATAAATATGAAAGGATTGTTACTGTTTTCATTGCCTGTTTGGGTTTTTCTTCTGTACTTCATATAAAATGCTAACCAGCCATTTCAATATTAAAGTGTATCCATTGTCCTTTCCTATTTATTTTTTTCATCTTAATACTGGTATTGATAAGTTACGCAGGCTGGCTTTGAACTTATACTAGCCCAAGCAAGCCTTGAACCTGTGGTTCTCTTATAGATGGGATCAACAGCTTAATCCCTTCAAAAATTATTTTGTTTTAAATTCATGTGATGAGAAACATGTGAATGTATAGTAGAGAGCTTCTAAAGATGGTTATGCTGAGTGTTAAACAAAATAATTTCTCATTAGTAGAAATTGTTAGTCATGGTTCCTATGTCTATTATTTAGTACTAATGAAAATTTTAATATACAACAAGGAAACCAGTTGTATGGTATGATGGATATAGTCTGCCTCCAAGGGCAGCACTGTCTCTTACAGTGAAGTGACACAAAATACAGATGTGTGACTCCTTTCTAGAAGATACAGGTGTTTCTCTTTTCTAGTTGAGAACAACAACTGTAGCCTTACAAAGGCAGAAGGAAGGCATGGTTAGACTTTGAAATAAATTTTTTTTTTAGGTTTCTTTCATTTAGAGGATTCAAATCTCTCTGGTGCACAGGCAACTAGATATTTGTTTCCTTTTGCTGCTCTTTTAAAAAAAATAGTTTAGTTTTCAGAATGTTTCCTTTATGATGTCAAACCACCCTTTATACTGACCTTGTGTCCTAGTTTTATTTGTATTGCTGTGATAAAATAATGTGACAAAAAGGACTTTGTGGGAAAGAAAAAGTTTATTTGGTCTATAATTCCAGGTCACAGTCCACCATTTCCAGGAAGTTGAGGCAGGAAGTCAAGTCACATCACATCCATAGCCAATAGCAAAGAGGAATAAACACCTCCTTGCTTCCTCACTCAGCCTTCTCTGGCTTCACTTTTTCTACACTTTTGAGGAGCTCCCTGCTTGGGGAATAGAGCTACCCACATTGAGGTAGGTCTTCCTACATCAGGTAAGAAGACAGGCCCTGACAGACAAGCCCACAGGCCGATCTGATCTACATGATTCCTCATTAAGATTCTCTTACCATGTGCCGTCACTTGAGTTTTTGATCTGGTGGATGTGAGGTAAATCTCAGGGTCATTTTGATTTGTATTTCCCAGATGACTAAGGACATTGAACATTTCTTTTTTATTTTTTAGGATTTTTTTAAATTAAATCTTTATTTTTTTATATTAATTACAGTTTATTCACATTGTATCCCAATGGTAACCCGCTCCATTATCCCCTCCCAAACCCAACTTTCCTCCCTTATCTGGAGGTATCTCCATCCCTGATCTAAAGCTGTACTACAGAACAATAGTAATAAAAACTGCATGGTACTGGCATTTCTTTTTTTTTTTTAAGTGTTTCTCTGCCATTTGATATTCCTCTGTTGAGAATTCTGTTTAGCTCTATACTCCATTTTTTTTTTAAGTTGGATTACTTGGTTTGATGGTGTTTACCTTCTTGAATCCTTTATATATTGTGGATAATATTAACTTTCTGTCAGATGTAGTGTTGGTGAAGATCTTTTCCCAGTCTGAAAGACTCTACCCATCAGAGTATCAAGGCAGATGCTGAAACTAATAGCCAAACTTTGGGCCAAGTGTAGGGAATCTTATTTCTGTAAGATAAGGGCGAGATAGAAAGACCTGGAGGGGACAGGAGCTCTACAAGGAGAACAACAATGTAAAAAATGTTGGGTCCAGGGAGACCTGCAGATACTGACACTGAAACCAAGGATCATTCACAGAGAGGACATCTACCACCTGCTCAGATGAAGCCCATAGGCTTCTCAGTTTCCAAGTGAGTGCCCTAGTAAGGGGAGCAGGGATTGTCTCTGCCATGAACTCAGTGGCTGGCTCTTTGATCAATACCCCCTGAGGGGGGAGCAGTGTTACCAGGACTCAGAGGAAGACAATGCAGCCAGTCCTGATGAGACCTGATAAGCTAGGGTCAGATAGAAGGGGAGGAGGACCTCCCCTATCAGTGGACTAGGGAGGAAGGGAGAAGAGGGAGGGTGTGTTAGATTGGGAGGAGACAAGGGAAAGGGCTATAGCTGGGATACAAAGTGAATAAAGTATAATAAATAACAAAAATAAATAAATAAATAAATAAATAGATAGATAGATAGATAGATAGATAGATAGATAGATAGATAGATAGATAGATAAAGAGTTAAAAAAAGATTCTTTTACCAGAACATTTTAGGCCAACTAGGCTTTGCACATCTTATGCCAGCATTCAGCTGGTAAGTACAGCTCTTACCCTTCATCAAGGGAACTTTGCAGCAGAGGGAGAACCACTAAAGAAAACTACAATTTCTCAAAAAAATGAAAAGAAGTGATCAGAAACAACTGGACCTAAGGCTTAGGGAACATCGTGTAAGAGGAAGCAGAAAGACTGTAAGAACTAGAAGACCATGATATCTTCTGAGAGATTGTATCTCCTAGAAATGACAGAGAAGCTTCAGCTATGATACATTACCAGTGTGGCTGCCACAGCAAGACCCAAAGAAGTCCATCACCTATAATCATGCTAACATGGAAAGGGGAAATTTCACAGGGCCCTACTCAAAGACAAGAAACGGCAGTCAACTAAAGAATATGAGAGGAGAAAAGAGGGTCATTCATGAATATACATTTACATATGTTTTACATATGTACATATACCTCTAAGTGTGTGTGTGTGTGTGTGTGTGTGTGTGTGTGTGTGTGTGTGTGTGTAAAACAACTAAATAAAGAGAGAGCATTATTTAGAGAGGAAGCAAATATTAGGGGCACATGTGAACAATTAGAAGGAAGAAAGGGAAGAGGAAAATTCTGTAATTATATTTTAATTTAAAAATAAATTAAAAAGTTAGCTATTTTATTACCATGTGATTCTTGGGTATGTCAAGTTTCCAGTTAAAACTAAACAGCACTTCTTATTAAAAGCTAAAGATTTTACGATAATTATAGCTGAAACGTCTCAATTTTATTTAGGGGAGGTATGTCAAGGGAAAAGACAGATATACTGTCAGACAGATAGAAATAAAGGAGATAATATAGAATGTGCTATTTGTGGTATGGATGAAACATGTAGGAGAAGAGTACCCTAGATGAAAAAAGTTTGTTACCAAGAATGGAATTGAGAAGCTGACATCAATCCTTCAGACTCAAGATAGCCCCAGGCCATTGTGGCACTGCTGACCCAAAGGAGATATTCCAGGACTGCTGTCCATCCTTAAGGAGTTCCCTATCGAATCTAGAATATGGAATGTATAAAATAACTTTGTTCCTTAAATGACTATAAGCATTTTAAAATATTA